GATAGGGTTCTAACTTTGATTAGTTAATTTTGGGATTGGTTCATCTTTTCATTTTTTAAAATGCTGATTTTTTTAATAATTCCACGTAATTATTGTAGTCACACTCAACAAACTGCAAGTTCCACGTAGATATAACTAGCCGGACACGCTGACATTTTTTGAATGTCCGACGAATTTGTGGTTCGTTTTGCAAAAGTACGACAAGGTCAAGATTATATTGCAAATATCCAAATGTATGGATTAAAATGCTAAAAAGCTAAAAGGTCAAGGTTTAAATAGCAATTAACCCATTAAAACATACATTAATTAAATAATAAAAATAATTAGTAGTTGACTCCTACATTGGCCGTTGACTCCGACGTTGACTATTGACTTCCAGCGTTGACTTCCGGCGGTGACCTGTTGACCTTAGTATGCATCATGTATGAAAGAATAATTAAAGACAATTAATCTAGCAATAACAGACAACTAACCTAGCAACTAGACATAACTAACCTAGCAACATCAGACAACTAACCTTGCAACTACATTTAACTGACCTAACAACTACATTTAACTAACCTAGAAACAACAGAAAACTAACCTAGCAACAACAGACAACTGACCTAGCAACTACTTAGAACTAACCTAGCAACTACTTAGAACTAACTTAGCAACAAGATAGAACTAACCTAGCAACAACAGACAACTAACCTAGCAACTAGACATAACTAACCTAGCAACATCAGACAACTAACCTAGCAACTAGACACAACTAACCTAGCAACTAAACATAACTAACCTAGCAACATCAGACAACTAACCTTGCAACTACATTGAACTGACCTAGCAACTACATTTAACTAACCTACCAACAATAGAAAACTAACCTAGCAACAAGAGAGAATTAACCTAGCAACTACTTAAAACTAACTTAGCAACAAGATATAACTAACCTAGCAACAACAGACAACTAACCTAGCAACTAGACATAACTAACTTAGTTGTGGTGGCGTTTCAGGGAGGGAAAGTCGCTTTGGGCTCAGTACCTTCGCGGCAAGTACTGTCCTAGACGTGCCAACCACCCTTGTTGGGTGACGGCTGTTGATCATGATAGCAGACAGTGGCGGCGCCTCACTAGGGTAGGTAAGCGCGCCCAGGATCACATCTTTTGGGTTTTGGGCGAGGGCGAGGTTAGTTTCTGGGATGAGTGGTGGTTAGGTGATAGGCCGTTTTCTAGGGATAGGCAGGTGTCGCATTCCCCCTACCTGCTTGTGAGTGACCTTTGGACGGACGGGTCGTGGGATAGGGGGAAGCTTGATAGGGAGTTGGGCTCTAGTGTGGGTTTTAGCGAGCATTTATTAGATCAAATCCAGCAGATTCCCATCTCGGGGGACGGTTCGGATGGCATGAGGTGGAGACTTACATCATCGGGTGTGTTTCCTACTACCTCGGCTTGGGAGCAGATCAGGCTGAGTGATCGGCCTAATCTTTTCTTCGGGGCCATCTGGAGCGACCTTTTCACTCCTACCATTTCGGTGACCCTTTGGCGCCTTTCCTTGCACCGGATACCCGTGGATACTGTGTTACACGCGAGGGGGATCTCTTTCCCCTCTCGGTGTGTGTGTTGTTCTGATACTGGACGCTATGAGACCGAGACCTTTACCCACCTTTTTCTAGAGAGTGAGATTGCGAGGAGAGGGTGGGAGCACTTTGCCACTTGGACCCATATATCCTTACCCACCACATACAGTTTCTTTGAGCTCCTGAGTTTTTTCTCACAGAGCACACACCATAGACACGTGGACTTCCTCATTCCTGGATGGAGAGGAATAGTGCAAAGCATAGGGATATTACTTTTTTGTTTTCTCACATTTTTTTGCAGGTAGAGAGACATCTTTCACTCCTCATAGCATTGGGCAGGCTCACGGCCCGAGACTGGACAGGTTGCACGCCGCCACAACGCTACATGGTGGCTTCCTCACCGCCTGTTCGGCCCCCTCGGCCCAGAGCTGTTGTTTGGCTTCGACACGACTCTCCTTGGGTCAAGCTGAACACTGATGGCTCTTTTGATCGCCATACCGAAGCTGTCGAAGGAGGAGGCTTGATCCGGGACCACAGCGGTGCCCTCATCACCGCCTTCCGCGCGTCCCTTCAAGCCTCCTCGAGCTACGACGCAGAGATTCAGGCATTACAGATTGGCCTTCAAATTGTTGTCCACTTGTCTAGTCATATTTGGATCGAGCTGGACGCTGCGGTTGTCACCACCCTCCTGACTTCGGGTCACCAGGGCTCGTGGCAGATTCAGCACCCGCTTATGCGCATTAGAGCTCTAATTCGGTCTGTACATCACAGGATCACACACATTTTCCGTGAGGGAAACAGACCTGCTGACTACCTTGCCAGCCTTGGCGCCACCATACCAGACCCACACACGTTTCAGACTGACACTGCTCCACTCTGCCTTCGCACGCTTGTACGGATGGACCAGCTTGGATATCCATCGTTCCGCTTTCAGTAGAGTAGGTTTATTGCTTTCGTTAGATTAGATGTTTATTCCCGGGCACCTGTTAGTCCGAAGAGCAACTTTGTATTGTTCTTTCTTTTTGTTTTATCTTGTGAGACTCTGTAGACTGTAGACTGTTGTTATTTTGGGCCCCTGTTTTGGAGTCTTGATCTATACACAGGTTGGGAATCTATCCCAATCCCCCAGCCTTCAGAGGCGTTGTTTGTTTAAAAAAAAAAACTAGCAACAAGATAGAAATAATCTAGCAACAATAGATAACTGACCTAGCAACTAGACATAACTAACTTAGCAACATCAGACAACTAACCTAGCAACTAGACACAACTAACCTAGCAACTAAATGCAACTAACCTAGCAAGAACTAATAACTAACCTAGCAACTACTAACCTAGCAACTACAGAGAACTAACCTAGCAACTACAAACAACTAACCTAGCAACTACAAAGAACTAACTTAGCAACTACAGAAAACTAACCTACCAACTACAGAGAACTAACCTAGCAACTACAAAGAACTAACCTAGCAACTAGAGAGAACTAACCTAGCAACTGCAGAGAACTAACCTAGCAACTACAAAGAACTAACCTACTTGGAAGGTTAGTTGTCAACGGTCAACGCCGGAGTCAACGGGTCAAAATAATATTTAAATAATTAAAATAATAAAAAGAAAAAAGTAAATCTTGGCCACACATGATGTACCAAATCTTGTGGCTAAAAATGAGTCTCACGTCCTCACTTTAAATAAGTGGATGCATTGGAACCAATCCCTATATATATATATATATATATATATATATATATATATATACTTCAATAAATTTTATTCAGTCAGCAACTAATAATAAAAGTAGTTCATCTAATTAAAATAGGTGTTCATTTAATAAAAATATGTTCACTATTTAATAAAAATATATAACTTTTAGTTACACGATTTATTTTGACATGTCCCATTTTGGATGGTTCCTATTTTTGTAACGCCTTTTTATGTCCTAAAATACAAAATATTTTTTGTTTTCAGTTTGATACTATATTTTTTTTTTTCGAAACGGAAGAGATATTATACCAACACTCAAAGGGAACAAAGTTCGAATACAATCACAACCAACGACCGAAAAAGAAAACTAGGAGGACTCACTATAAAGCGGCCTAGAAATCCCACAGACGGGATGAAAACAAAAGACAACAACCAAACCACTAAAACAACCCTCTAAACCACTGCAACTGCCTAGTATAGAGGACATGCTCCAAGAGAGACAAGAAAACAAGAACAACTAACCAACAACAACAAATACTAAGCAAAGAAACTGAAAAACATACTGACACTCAGAGATGATAGTAGAAAACTCCATCCAGTCCTTTGTAGCAGCCATAACTGTTACTCTAACAGGCATTCTTGTTTCTTGAAAGATCCGCAGGTTCCGTGACTTCCATAACCACCACAACAGGTAAGTTGTAAGCTGGATTCGAGCCTCGGGAATATCAGATTTATCAATTGAACACACTTGCCACCACCAATCACTTGTATAGCAGGTAAGTTTTATACTATATATATTTTGGTATTATATAAATACATATTTCACAACTAATTAATAATGACTACAAATATCTCTATTTTCTATTGCAATCGTACAATAATAAAAAATAATTTTTTGGATATAATATTTTGAAAAGTCAAATCCCATAAAATAAGGCCCTCCATTGCTCCTGCAAATTGGTCATGCAATATATTTAAAAATTACAATATTATATTCATAAATATAATTTATAATATTCTATGTTCAAAATTTAATACCATTATCTAACTTATAAATTTAATGTTATATGCATATAAATAACTTATAATATTTTATTTATGTCTGTGCAAATGCACATGATCGAATACTAATAATTAAATAATATCAATCGATCATCCTTACGCATCGCATCAATTTTAATTAACTATTCAATCACTCACGTAATTTTAACTGTCTATCACATCCATAGTCTCTCTCCTGCTTTTACATCAAATCAACTTTAACTATTCGATTTAATATTATTTTAGTATCCCACTAAAAACTAATTAAACTAACTTATTCAAAATTAACCATGGTTAGCTAAATAAGAAGTAAAAAACTGGTTTATTTGTATAGAAAGAAGCCCTTGGTGCATGCTTGTTTATAAATATTTTTGGCTTTGACTGATTTTTGGTTAACCATAGTTAATTTTAAAAAAGTTTGTTGGGTTAGGTTTGATAGAGATTTTGAGTTTGTATTAAAATAATATTAAAAATAAAATAATTAAAGTTGATTTGATGTAAACGTAAGCGATAAGTGATTGGAAGTGATGGATATTATGAAGTGAATAAATATTGAATTAAAATTATAATGATAAATATAATTGATTGATATTATTTAATTATATTAATACCTTGTGAAGTTGAGTTGTTATTGGATTTTTTGTTGGTATATTTATAACCAAGGAAGCCTAAGTTAAAAGTTCAAACATAGTTGGTTTGTCTGCTTTAATTGCCATAATACCTACGAAATATACATATATTTTTATATAATATACCGTGTGCGATTATCGGAAGGGGAAATCGGCTTTTCTTCTAACACCTTCCGAATCAAAATGTCCGTGCTGAATCAGCTCTTCAACAGAGGACTTTTGGGAACAAAATGGTCAGTTTGATCAATTCAGTTCACTTGATGTTTTTGGTTTGTAATTATTTTCCGGTGAGTCCCTCTATCGTCTTTGATTGAAAGAAGAAAATCCGAAATCTTGGTATTCTGTTGGGCCGGGAAAGGAACTCAAACCCAATAAATTGCCTACCCAATTGAATATCTTATAATCCTGAGTTGATCGCCCATTTTCCTTTTCACCATTTTATTGTTGAAAATCTCATCTTTCTGCTGAAAAGTTTATTGTTTTTTACCTATCTGCTGAAAATCTCATCTTCCTGCAGGTTATGAGTGTTTGTTTCTGTGATTGATGTTTTGGTTTTGATGTCTCATCTGATTGTTGCCTTTTGGTTTTGATGTCTTGTGTGATTGTTGTCTTTCAGTCTTGGTACTTAGGAGGAACTAAAACTAAGATGTAGGAATTTGTATGTTCTTCTCTTATGAGATTTTGATCTGGGCACGTGATGTATTATATTGTTGGTGTTTTCATTATGCTATAGCATCACAGCTTATATATTTGAAGTCTGATGATCTTTAGAAGTCGACATTCTGGAATATGTTTGGAAAGTCTCTAATTTTTCTGTTAAAATGATACACCATAGAGTTTATATTTGAAATATAACCTACTTTATTATATGTTAAATATGTTGTTTTGTAGTAAAACATGCCTAACATTGGCAATCTCGCGAATCAAGTTGTTGCAAAACAAGAGAGATGTGCAGCTAAAGCTAATGAGGAAGGAAATAGCAGAATTTCTACAGGCCGGCCAAGAAGCCATCGCTCGAATTAGAGTGTGCATTCAGTTTCTATTTTCTGATATAGTAATAGTTTTCATTCAACGTCTGACCAATTCATTTGCTTAGGTGGAGCATGTTATTCGGGAACAGAACACTTGGGAGGCTTACGAGATATTGGAATTGTTCTGCGAATTTGTTCTTGCTCGTGTACCTATTCTCGAAAGCCAGAGGTAAAAAATAGCATTTTATAAGTGACTGTTCTGTGTGTCTGTATTATAGCTTGTTCTTCTTGAACTTGGAATATGCAAAATGGTGATTACGAACAAGTTCTATTCTCAATTGAACAATATTTTGACTATTTTACTTGAATGTGAACTCTTGATTAGCTGATACAAGAGAAGGCTTCTGAGTTTTGTTATTTGTTAACGAGTGTATTGTCCATCAAATTAATATTGAATTTAGTATGAGCATTATGCATAAACTGCACTTTTAAACAATACAAAAATGTCATCAAACTTTTGCCGTGGCTAGAATGTGTCTTGTTTTCTAATGAAAGTCACCAGTACTAAATAAATTATGGTATACTTCCCCACAAGTATGCATACTTTCACAATGAGATGTCATACTTTAAACAACATAAAAAAATATAACGTTTTACAGTATATATATTTATATTCTTGTTTATAAAGTATGTCGAATTTACCCGCCTAACAGTCAAGGCTGCCTCATAGCAACCTTTATGAACAAATTATGTTACACTGTATTTCGATGTGCTGTTTACTTTCACACATGGAGATTGGAATCGATACAAACCTTACTTCATTCAGGTGTTATGGGAGTTTTCACTTGAATTATGATCCAGTTACTGGATAAATCTGATATAAGGATCTGTTTCGAGATTCTGTGGGGGATGTTTAGCATACTGAGCAACTTCCTAGTCTAATATAAGATGTAACATTATCCGATAAACCGTGACAACCTAGAAGAAACTATGCTATTTCTCTTCGCCTGCCTAGAATAATGTAGAAGATTAGAATGCTTGTTCAAGTTTATTAAAATGATCTTGTTTGATTAGTACCAGTGTTGTATTTGCATATGTGATTATTCTTGATTAGGTTTGGAGAATTTACAAAAAAAAAAACCTATAGCAGTTTCAAGATTGTGAAAAAACCCACTGAAATTCGGTACCATCTTATATTCTCCCTCTTCATATGCCAAAGCCAGGTCGAAAAACTATTCTTACGTACACAAATATATTGCAGTTAGCCCCATAANCTCGTTAATTAGTCAATCCTTCAAGGGTGGTTCTTGTAATTACGTCTTTTCAACTTTTGTTTCATTGATGTTATGTCCCATTCTCGTTGCTTAAAAACAGGGAATGTCCTACGGAGTTGAGGGAAGCTGTGGCAAGCATAATATTTTCGGCTCCAAGATGTTCGGATTTACCGGATCTATTAATCGTTAAGAATTTATTTGCATCGAAATATGGGAAAGAGTTCATAGCTGCTGCTTCCGAGCTTCGTCCCGATACCAGTGTCAACCGTACAGTTAGTTTGATTTTTTGACCCAATCCTTTTTATTTTGTTGATTAATATATATTACCAATATGTAAATATCTGATGATAGATTTTTCCCACAGATCATTGAAAAACTCTCAGTGAGTGCTCCACCTGTGCATTTGAAGCTGAAAGTATTGAAGGAAATCGCGCTTGAATGTAACATCAATTGGGATTCATCCGCAACAGAAGCAGAATTCAGCAAGAAACCCGAAGATCTTCTGGTATTCAACTATTCTCCAAATTTTGCTACTTTCTAATTTTGGTGGTCCCACTTTCAGTCACTGTAGATAGTGTTTGGACAAAAGAGATTGCATTCAAGGTCCAACGAATTTCAAGTACCTTGGATTTGGATTCCTTCCTAATTACTTTGCTTGGGTGATATGAATTTGTTGAGATTTCAATTTCGTCAAAAAAAATTTAAATTACTGTCATTACATTTTAATATCAAATAGAAAAATATGATTTTTGAATGTGGGTATGTGAAGTATGCATAGAATGTTTGTGAAACGTGTAACGCTTTGTTTTGAGTGTGTGTGTGTGTGTGTGTGTGAAAAATATAAAAAATACATGTGTAGTGTGTGTTATTTTTTGCTATTCCTTATTGCTACCATACATGCACTTCAGAATGGGCCAAAACAAATAGCCGCACAATCTCATGCTCATTCCAGACCGAAAACCGAGCATAATACTTTCTCCAAACAGCTTTCTGAGCCTTCTTCCAAAACTAAACAAGGGGATGTCAACTTTTCTGGTCCTCACACAATTGAGCCGTTGGCCCGAAAACAGCATTTGCACTCAATAACTCAGGTAAGTTCAAAACCATCAGATGTTCTTGAAAGGGCCCAAGCTGCTATTGCTGCAGCTGAACGTGCATCAGCCGCTGCCCGTGCAGCTGCTCGGTTAGTAAATGCTCAACTATAAATTTGAATTTGTGTTGTACTTGTATTGTGTGAGGTTTTAATTTACGAATACATACTGTTTGGAACTAATGGTTGGAGATTGGAGTATGTAAGTAATGGAAAATACATATTGCTTGTTGTGAGCAGTGTGTATTTTATTTTTGAGCAGTATGTATTTTATTTTTGAGCAGTATGTAACCTCAGTGATGCATACTTTAAGATCATGTTTGGTATACAAATAAGCTAGCTTATAACTTATTTGGTTAGCTTATAAGCTTCTTGTATTTAAATAAGCTTCGTCTTTTAAAAAGCTCGAGCTTATCTCATAAGCTTCTTTGGGTTGCTTTTCAAATAAGCTAGTTGAAATTTTTATTTCAGTTAGCTTATCAGCTCATTTTACGAAATACTTTTATCATATAAGCTACTTCTTTAACTATAAGCTATAAACTTGAAAATTACTTATAATAAGCTATAAGTTAGTTTATCAGTTATCAGCTAGTTTTACCAAACATAAACTAAGGGATATTTGTGTTAGAATTACTCTTTCCCTCCAAAATCTCTCCTCTCACTTCTCATTTTCAGAATCACAAGGATTATAAGAAAATGTGTTAAATTTATTTCGTTATTGTCCTCTAATGTTGCCTACCTCTTGTCTTGGGTTGGGGACCATATATCCAATAAGTCTAGATATGAATAAGCTAAAGAACACATCTTTCATATGGTGGCTTGGCCCAAAGACATTTATTACAGGATGGGCGAGGTACATTCGGTTTCCAAAAATAGAGCAACAAAAGACTTTAGTTTTAAATGGTTTGGCCCAATTTCTTATCAAGTTGAAAAGACGCATTTCTGCATATGAGATATCATCAATTGCTACAGTTGACGGGTGATTGGACAAGCACAACAAACGTGGTGCTTTTGTTTTTGTTTGTTTTCGTCTTATAACTAAAACTTTCTTGTTGTATTCTTGATATCCACAACTTGGGGTGTTTTTCATTTTCATTCAAGATCTTGGTTTAAATTGCCATTAACAATTGAATTTTGGAGGGCCTGCTGTTTAGGGTGTGTTTATTATATATAAATAAACTCAATTCATAGTCAATTTATACTCAAAATTTAATTCAATTTTGATTCAACCTCATTATCAATATTATAAATATATTAAATAATATCAACCTTCATTCTTACACTTCGCATCAACTTTAATTCAATATTCATTCATTCACATAATATTAACTAATCATCACTTCATATCATCTCTCTCATACCTTTATATAAAATCAACTTTAATTATTTTATTTTATTTTATTTTATTTTTTTCTAAAAAACTTTAATCATTTTTATTTTAGATATTGTTTTAATATAACATCAAAATCCCACTAACAATTAACCATACCACATTTTTTAAAATTAACCATGTTTAAAAAAAAATATCGTTTTGAGTAGATATATTCCACTTATCGTGCCTCTCTTGCCGCTCAGGAGCATGGGGTACGGAGTGTTTGGAACCGCTTTGAGAATCAAATAGAAATAACCTCAACTCAAATTATAATTGGAACCGCTTTGAGAATCAAATAGAAATAACCTCAACTCAAATTATAATAGTTGATCGTTTGACTTTTTTCAAATATGAGGGAACTAAGAAATAAAGTGGTACGGTTCTGAAGATTTCAGAAATATTCATTTTGATGATCGAACCAAACCATCTCGCATTGTACCGAATCGAAAACTGAAATGAAGAACTGAATTATAACATTGAATGTTTTCTGTTCGTAGATTTTGTGTCAACTTTAATTCTATATAATTTGAATATTTTTATCTACCTAATAACATATAGACATAACAACTAAATTTTACCTATTCTGATTAATATTATTAAAAATTTATTTATATTACATATGTTGATACTTTTTTTAGTATTAATATCCATCTTACAAATAATATGGTATGAAATATAAGAAAAATATTTTCTAAAATAAAATTTAGATTATATTTTATTTAGATTTTAAATTTTCATCATTAGTTGCATAAATTACCCTTAACTAAAATTTTGAAGTTTTTTTTCAAATATTTTTAAATTTAATTTCGAAAGAAAAACTTTAATGTCTTAATATTTATGAATGTTGTTATTTTTTTCTTTTTTCTTTAAAAAAAAGCTTATCAAATTCAAGTATAACTAATTAATCATTGGAAAAAAATTTGAAAAATAAATGCGAATCTCTGTAGCTCTGAATTAAATTGAACCGATCTAAAATGTTTCGGTAGTCCCAAATTTCAAACTGAACCCAAAAATTAAAATCTCTGAACAAATTCATCTTAAATTTTGATACGGTTTTGAGAGATGGAATTATAGTGTAAATTTTGGTACGATTTCAAAGATTGAACTCCAGTGAACTCCAATTTAGAACAAGTTTATAAACATGTGAATTTTCAAACCGTTGCAAACTGATTCTCATAACTGTTGTTGTTATTTTGGCTTTTCTCGTCAAAGGATAAAAATAAATTGATACCCCTTGATATTCGAAACTTTATTGCAAAAATAAAATAATAAAGAGAAGCAAAAGATAAAAAAAGAATAAAAAAAATAAAACAATGAGTTTTGTACACTTCTATGAACTTTAAAGCTACATTTAAAATATTACATAAAAAAAAAAAGAAAAAAAAAAAGAAGAAAAAACTGCTTCTGCTACAATAGCTCCAAATTACAACCTAAAAGAAAATGTAGGCTGCAGGAGATTAAAGATTTCAGATTGTTGGGGTTATAAGCACGAGAGTTCATTCATGAGCAATCTAATGTCTTGTCTGTCTGTAAGCTCTTTTTAAATTTTCTGTTTTATAATTTCTACAAATCAACTCCAGTCCCACTTTCTACTACACTAGCTGCCATCTATGAATCACTATATTTATTTTCTTTACCAACTTTTGTCAAACTGAAGCTGCAACTGGGGACCAAATGAAGTACCTTGCATGTCATAGCTTTAGTACTACACTCTATGGGCATCTTGTACAAGTAAAAGTATAAATCTAGATATAAATCTTTAATAATAATGGCGGTCATGTGAATAGTATAAATCATGCTTACTACATTGTAGACCATGACTTTAAACTGTGGATCGATGGATGCATGGTTTCGATTTCTAAAGAAGAAATTGTTTACACTTGTTTATATTGTAATTATATATATATATATATGTATATATGTATATACTTCCTCCGTTTCTTATTAAATGTCGTTTTAATTTAAAACTTCTAAATTACGATTTTAATGGGTTGTGTAATAATCTTATTTTTTAATCTTATTAAATTTAGTTTTTGAATTATTAATGGGTGGTTTTTAAAGATAATGATAAGAGATAATGTTTGTTAAAGAGAATAAAGATGTAAGAATGAATATAATATTTTCAACGACAATTAATTTGCAAAAAAGTTGACACCCTACAACGACATTTAAAACGAAACAGAGGGAGTATATATATAAGATTGAGTTCAAGTGATAAAGATGCTTAGTTAAAGAAATGAGAATACATCGTAGCCATTAAATCGAATGATCTAATAACTGTAAAGAAGTCAAAATTATGCCTTCATTGAGAATAATATGATAATTTATCCATAACACCAACTCGCACGCAGGCCTCAAGTGACACCTCGTGTTTCTCTCTCATTAACTCTCTCTCATACGTCTTTCTCTCTCTCACACATGCCATTACACACACATACACATATAGTGTCCTATTATACACACATATACACACAGTGTCCGTCCGACTCAACATCGGCGCCGTACCCCGACCCCAGCCGACACTAGGCCTGACTGACAGCTTAGGCGCCACCGCCCGTTCGCCTTTTCAGTTGCGTGCGTTGCCACGCCGGTGGAGCTCCGAATTGCTGCCGTTAAACTTAACGTCTCTGACATCCACGTCCATCTGACAACCGGCCGCCGTCGTATCCGTCATCCTTATTTTACCTCGTCGATTAAGGTACAGCGAGCGCTTACATCGGAAAAATCGACATACAATGGCACGCGACCATTAATGGCGGATTTTTTTTTTTTGTAAAAAAAAAAAAACATCATCTCCATCGTTGGGTCACGGCGGGAAAAACTACATGGTGAACGGCAAAGACTGCTGAAGACAGTGTCGCCAACTGGAGAGGGGTTGACGCACGGTGGTCGGGTAGAGGAAAACGAATTTGGGATAAAGTCATTTGTTTTTAAATTAAATAAATTGAAAGGACATGATTGTAATTTCATGAAATTTTATTATATTTCAATTTGGTTCATGTGCCAAATCTGTAATTTATAGAAAGTTAAATAAATGTATACCAATTATGAATAAAATGCACAACATATTGTGTATATTCACATAACTGCAGACTTGCTTAGCATCCTTCCTACAGGTTGGGTTGAATCTCCAAGAAGGCTTCTGGAAAGCGGTTTAAGGATAGCGCTTCGCCTTTGCACCTTGCCGAACCTAAGGTGAAAGCCCTTGTTCTAGCTAATTCGGTGCGCTAGGATTCTAAACCCGAAAGCATTACAGTAAAGGTATGGAAGATTCTCAATCTCTCTAACAGAAACTAGGGGAAAACGGGTGCGGTCCCATTAACATGAAGCGCACCATAGGAGAAAGCCCATATAAAGCTCAAGTGGGGTTCCATCCCAAAACTAATTGGTGGAAGGAGGAGAGACCCATTAGACTTATAAAGTGGGTTTATTTTTCATGTATAGACGATGTGGGACAACTCACAAGTGATATTCTAACACGCCCCCTCACTTGTGAGTCCTTCGAAAGCCCAAGTCCAACTGGCTGGGTGACGGGTACGTCATCGCATGGTCACCAATAGAACCGGCTCTGATACCATGACAGAAATTGGAGGAAAACTGGTGCAGTCCTACTAACATGAAGCGCACCATAAGCGGGGAAAGCCCATATGAAGCCCAAGTGGGGTTCCATCCCAAAACCAATTCGTGGAAGGAGGAGAGGCCCATTAGACTTATAAAGTCGGTCTATTTTCCATATATGGACGATGTAGGACAATTCACTAGTGATATTCTAACACTCTCCTCCTTCCCTAGCTATTTTTCTTCTCCTTTAAAGCCTTTGGGATTGATTAAACCATTCATCGTTGGATTCTAGTACCTCTTACCGGTTTGCTCATCGCCGATTCCCTCCTGTCCAAAGACTTTTTGATATGTAGTTCGATTGGTCTCTGAAAGCAGATAGATTGCACATTAGCGACGAAAACCGACCGAACTAAAACTTTCGGTTTGAATTTTTATGTCGGATCTATTATATGTTTTAAATTAAAAAATTTCGGTTATCTCAGTTATATGTCGACTTTATTTACCAAAATAATATAAATATCAAATAAAAAATATTAACATTAGATATATTTTCATAATAAACATAATAATTCATTTCAAATGTTTTTATTAATTCGGTTGACTAATTATTGTTTTTCAACGAACAATAATATGAAATTTGAAATAACAAAACCATAAATATTAAATATATTTTTATAATATAAATAATTTTTTTAAAAATTTAATATATAAAAAATATTAAAATAATAAATATACTTTTATAATAATAAGTAATAAAGTATTTCACTTATTTAGGTTAATTTGATGTACAGTTATATCTACAAAATATAGTTTTGAAAAACACGTAATTTAAATGTAATCGTATAAACTAGTGCACTTTATATATTAGCACGATGCACTTTATAAAATAATACGTTGCACTTTATATAATAACACGTTGCACTTTATAAACACGCTCCACAATTAACGTCAACAACTCCCGCCAAAATATCACACAACATAAATAAAACAAAATAGACATAAATAATACTTTAACATCAATCACATCATTTATCCACACGAAACACAAGCACGCTAACGTACCAAAATTACATTATTTAACTTATACATCAATACTTTGCACTTTATAAAACAACACACTGCATTTCACAAAACAACACGCTACACTTTATCACGACTATCAGATTGCACATTAGACATTGAAACTGACCGGACTCAAATTTTTTCAACCCAAAAAAATATAAAATAATAAGTAAATTTCTTAGTTAGGATAATTCTGTTAACCAAACTGAATAAATCAATTAATTATGTTCATTTTCAATTTGATTTTGGACAAAAGTTCCGTTTGCGCCGATCGAACAATATGGAAACTATTATTATTATTATTATTATTATTATTATTATTATTATTATTATTATTATTATTATTATTATTATTAGGTATAGCGAGTGCACATTAGAGTTGCACGAAATGCTACTAATGACTATTAGATTGCACGATACTGACCGAATTAATTTTTCAATTAGAAATTTTAATTTTCTATTCGATTGTCTTTCTTTACTTTTAAAAACGCTGTTATTTCTGTTGGATGCCAAAAAAAAATTTATATAAATGAAATATTCAGACGTCCAAATTGTATAAAAAATGTTATTATCAATGTTTTTTTTTTGTATTTTTATGTAATATATTATCTATTTTCAAATATTAA